TGGTCCGTTCGGATATGTCAGGCCCCGTCCCTCACCACCCGGTCGCCCTATTGTGGGCCTGGCCGAACCCATAATGGGCCTGCTATAAAAGACCCTCTTAGTGCCCACAGGGCGGAAATAGTTAAAAAAAACCTGTCGACTTTTTTTGCATGTACCATCGTACACGTATCAAATAGAGCTAAGTTATCTGTACCTGTTCTTTCTTAATTTAGGTTACTTACGTTACTCCTACGCAAGTCCCTAGTCCCTAACTGTAACTGATTTAGAACCGGCATGCACGTTATTCTTCGCATTGTAAAATGACATTGCGCATGCATCAGGAACTTCTGTTCGAACAAACCTGGTTTTGTTTTTGTTTGTTTTTTTTTTTTTTGATGTATATTAATTATTTTTAACTATTAAGTATGCAGGAAAAACTCTTTTTGATCTGCGGAATCATTGGTTTTTTGGTTAAAACATTCTTACTTTGAAGATCTGACTGAGAGGGTTTTCTCTTATGATTGAGTTAAATTTTTCTTGTTAGTTATCTCTCGAAAATTTCTATGTAATAAGTTCCAGTATTTTATCATTTGAAAGACTGGGGCAGTTTGTCCAATTGAAAGTTTTGTTGAGAGTTTTAAGAAGTTATAATTTAGACAATGGCAGTAGTTTTCCTTCCTGTGATGATTTTCTATAATGTTTAGAAGATAACTGTTATGTGTTTTAAGCTTTATAAATTTAAAGGAGAGAAGTATAGTTTGTTTTGGATATAAAGTTTTTGTTGTTGATTTTTTCTTGTTGATAACAATTGGAAGTTGATTTGTAGTAGTTTAATTTGAAAATGGCTCTCATTAGGAGATTTTGTTGTGTTTACAGACGATTAACAATACAATCAGATGTAGTTCCCTATATAGTTATACCATATTGAATTTTTGGTTCTATACAAATTTGATAGTCATTTTTTTGTATTTATGTTTAGGAAATCCTGTATTTTTCTGATTATGCCAGTAAACTTAACAACAGTTTTTGTTAAATTTTCAATATGTCTGTCATATCTGAGTATACTGTACCAAATTCTAAAATTAATATTAAATGTTTAGTATTGAAATCTGAACAACTGAGAAATAATATTCTTAATAGGCTGAAACAAAATAAATTACTGGGAGACTGGCAAAATATAAATTTGGCAGCCGATTTAGTAAAAAAGCTCCTGTAAAAGAAGAAAATCACTCTTACCATATTATACTGATTTAAAAAAACGAGGAGTACAACTCAAATTATAAGACGATTATCTTTTAATAAACCAGCAAAAAATTATATACAGTTTTCTACAAAATCAACTAGTATATGCTGATGATTTTTTAGAATATATCCTACAACAAAACTTAACAAATCAGAGCTTCCAATAAAAATAAATAATCAAACAAATAAGAATGGAAATCAAAGAAACATTCAATTAAAAATAACAAACTGGAATTGTCAAGGTCTAATAAAAAAATTACAAGTAACAAATTCATACATTTACTAAACAATACTATATACTGGGTATAACAGAAACCTGGATGACCTCTCCAATTAATGATTTAATTAAAAATAAAGAAGAATATAATATTATATTGACAACAGCTTAAAAACCAGATGGCCCAGGACATCCCTATAGAGGACTAAGTTTAATATTAAAGAGAAATATTGGAGAAGTAAAATTTCTTCAAAAAAACTACTAATTGTATTACAATATTGGTACAAATTACTAATCTAGATCTGACGTTTCTAGACAAAAAATGAATAATAATAATAATGTTGGTCTACAAATCACTGGAACACAGAGATACTAAATGAAATCTTCAAAACTTTTGAAAAATGGAAAAATATTTTCCCCATATGTACTAATGATAGGAGATCTAAATGCTCAAATAGCTCAAAAAGTAGACTTGGAATATAAAGAACCAAATGTGTTGATTTGAAACATACATGAATCTAAGGATAAAAAATGTAAAAAATTAGGAATTCAATTACTAAATCATATACACCAACTACAGTCGACCCCCCTATAAGATATAGATACGTTCCATTCTTTAGGAATCCGATTTCTTACGAGTCGTTCCAATCACAGCCCGACACATGTCAAGTTTACGGACTACGGCTGATTGAAAGGTTTTCTTCCATAAAATTAATCGATTCTAGACTAATCCGACTCAACATTTCCAAAATACGTATATTTTTGGTAGTTTTATAGGAATCGTAATTATAGGGACCGTAATTATAGGGGGGGTCGACTGTACAGTTATATATATTAAATGGGAGAATAAGAAAAGATTATCCATCAGAATTTACTTGTGAAACTAATTCCAGATGTTCAGTAATTGACTTAACAATATGCTCTGAACTATTAATTAACAGATATGTGTATGGATATTCAAGTATTAAATTGTGACTTAGCAGACCATTTTCCAGTAAGAACTACTATCGAAATGGCAAAAAATCAAGTTTATAAAAATAAATCTGTATCTTACCAAACAACTTACTATGACTATCAACAATATCAATTACAAATAAGTGAAAGAATAAAATATATCTCAAATACTGGACTAGAAGATGGAATTGAAATATATTCTGAATTGGAAAATACAATAAAAAAAATTTATAAAAATGTGAAAATTAAACAAAATTTTATATATTTAAAAGCATTGGTTTGACTTTGATTGTTATGTTTTAAAAATTAAGAAGAACAAAGCCTTATTACAATTCAGAAAATCTTATACAAACAAAACATTTAATAATTACAAAAAACTAAAAACAATTTATTTTAATTTATTAAAATCTAAGAAGAAAAAATATTTCAAAAATTTAAAACATCGGCTGATTATAAAAAAAATAATATCATCTTTTGGACAACAATACAAAGACTAAGGAAAAAAGACTCTGAATGACAATCCATTATAGAAATGTTAACTTAGTCTCTTTATTTTAAAAGATTTCCGATTATTGATAAACTACCAAATTTGGAATTCACAAATCCGAATAATGAAATTTTGGATTTTCTCTTCACTTACAAAGAACTGGAAGCCTCAATTTGCAAATTGAAATTAAAATCATCTTCGGGCACTGACTTAATTATTGCAAAATTCTTAAAATTACTGCCACCATTAAGTAAACAATTACTACTTGATGTATTTAATTTATTTTATAATACGTTTAATTATCTGGAATCTTGGAACACAGCTAAACTACTTATGATATGCAAAAAAGGAAACCAGAAAGAACCAGAGAATTATTGCCTAATAGCACTTCTACTAATTATAAGAAAATGCTTTACATCAATACTAGTGGCATGTTTTCAATGTTGATAAAAGAGCAAAAATTGTATTCAAAATTCCAATTTGTTAAATCCAAAGGAACTGAATCTGCTATATTCTTTTTAACTTCAATAGTTCAAATTTATTTACAAAAAAAATGCAGAAAAATATATTCAGCCTTCATTGATATTTCAAAAGCTTTTGACTCTGTTCATGTCCCTACCTTACTTAATAAACTAAAAACATATGGTGCTGGAAATAAATTCTCTGATTCTATTTTGCATTTTTTTTTTTTCCTTTTACAGTATTAGCATTGTTTATGACAATCAAACTTTCCCAGAGATAACTATAAACTGTGCAATACTCCAAGGTGAGCCATTATCACCATACCTATTCAACTTTTATATTAATGAAATAGACAATCATTTTTTAAGTGATACTGAAGGAATTCATATTTTTGGACATACATACCACTATATTCTCTATGCTGATGATCTGGTATTAATGGCCCCAACTCGTATAACCTTACAACGCAAGCTTGACAAAGTAAACAACTATTTGAACTCTATATTTTTGTCGATTAATGCATCAAAGTCAAAAATAATTATCTTTAGAAATATTAAATTATCAAACCAAAAGAAATCTTTTTACTTAAATGGACAACATTAGTGAATAACATAAATATTTAGGTATAATCTTTAACTGGAACTGTAATTTTCATCTAAATTTGAAAGACCTTACTACAAAAATTCATTTTCTTATCGACAATGTTATCTATTTATTAATGTATGTCTCTTTAATCCGAAATTAAAATGGATTTGGAAACAAATGGATGGAGAAAACAGTATTGCACTGAAGAGGGACTTAGCATTTATATAAGCCCGAAATGCATATGTGAAAATAATAAAAGAAGTGTCTAACCTGAAAGCTGTAATGATAGTCTACCGAACTTAATTTCGGATTAAAGAGACATACATTCATAGTATGTAATAACAGCTACCATAAGTGATATTTATCTATTTATGTTTAGCATTAAAAATTACAGATCTAAAATTACAGATGAAAATATTTAATGTGTAAATTTTTTCAATTTTCTACACTAGCCCAATATGGGCACTTGATTCACTTTATGACTTGGTAAAATTTCACATTACTTACCTATGAAAACGATTTAAAATTAAAAGATCAGTTCCAGGTTATGCAATAAGAGCCAAAGCAAACAGATATCAATTGTTTCCTTTTTTTCTGAAGACTAATCAGGTTTTATTACAGATTTAAAAATACCAATGATGACAATGTAAAATTTTTACATCAAATTATGATAACTCAAATCAACAAATCAAGTTCTAATAAAAACACATGGCAATGTAAGTTTAATAAACTACTTCAAACATTTGGAATTTCAAGTGCAATATTTGATAATTCAGAGACCAACTGGAAATATGGTTATACACTAATGATTGTATCAGCCTTGTCACAGTCCATAATAAAGGACCAAAATTCAAAAAATGAATTTGGTTTATCATCCTTAGTACTTAAATACTCTAAATATACCTACAAACTTGAATATTGAAACCACTAATACAAATATGAATATTAAACAATTATTACTTCAAATCAGATTCAACAAATACTCATTATTTGTCAACAACAGTTATATTGATTTCACTAAAGAACATTGATATTGGTGTAAATTCAGTGACTTTTCCTTGCTCCATTTGTTAAAGGACTGTGCAGGTTTAGTAAAATATCGTCAAGAATATGAAATTACTTTACATTTATTTTTAGAGATAGCAAAGACATTTAAATAATAAATTACAACAGATTAACCAGTGTTTTTCATTTGTTTAAATCAACAAAGAATATAAAATATTTTTTATTGGTTTAAACAAGTGAAAAACACTGGTTAAACTGTTGTAATTTATTATTTAGAATTTAAGTTTAATAAATTTTATTTATTGGTTTTATCAAATTCAAAACTATTCTGAAGAAATATTAAAATTATTTTTGAAAATAATTTTAATTTGTGTATCCTTTAAATACAAATACTTACCTTCTGATTTTAAATAAGTATTTTGAATCAGAAATAAAGCTTTCAGCATAAAATATAGCAATATAATGATATCAATTAATATGTATCAGTTTGAACAATTAAGTTTTGAAATTTTATTTAAATATTACTTATTGATGATTTGTTTGAATTAACATTTTAAAAATAACTATTATTCAAACTTTAGGAAATGGCATTAAGTACAGAAATTGCAGCAAAAGAAGAGTTACAACAAGCTTTAGAACATGTAAGAAAGGAGTCTGTTAGAGAAAGGGAAACTTTATTAGCTCAACTTGAAGAACTTCAACAGGGTAAAATTAAAATTCAAAAGCAGTTTCAATGTCGTGAAGAAGCACTTCAGTCTGAGATGACTCAGTTACAAAAGGTTTGTTAAATTTCATATGAAGAAATTTCAAAACTGTTAGAATCAATATTTTAAAATGTATTTGTTTTTTGGAATAATATGAATAAATTTTGCACATTTTTAATAAATTAATTTGCTAAATAAGTGTCTCTGTTAAATGCAGAGAATTGCCTTTTTTTCTTTTTTTTTTTAACATAAGTTTTTCTTAAATACATTTTTATATTTTTAAAATATAAAGTTTCCAGTGTATATATGTTAACAAAATTCTATATATATATTTTTTTAAATAAATGAACAATAAAAAATTATATATGTATACACATATGCAATTCAACAAAACTACATTTTTAGTTTTAGATGATTACTAATTTAATATTGTTATATTAGAGACTGCAAGAATCAGAGAAAAACACAGAAGAGCTAACAAAGCAAATTTCATCAGGTATTAATTCTTAAAATTTTATTCTATTATTAAATGATGAATGAAACAAATATACTTAATCTAAAATATATAGAGATATATTTTATTTTTATTGTTACTTTTACAAAAGCATACATAAAAATACATTTTAATGTTATATAGGTATTCATATTCATAAACATACTGCTTTAATTTTGAAAAAGAAATAATAATAATAAAATAATTATTTATACTTCTGAACTCATTATTACTATTATTATTATTTTATTTTATTTTTTTTTTTGTGAAGTTTATTGGTGTTTATATCTTATGATTAAGCCAAAGTGGTTGGCCTGTGCAAACTTCAATGTAATACAAGTATGCTGTGAAATACCTTGTTGAAAGGTTTGTGTGGATCCCAGTGGAGAGTGACAATGCTCAACTATAGCATATACAGTATTTAGTTAGCCAAGTGTATTTATAAATGAACATTTTTTCTGACATTAAAATACATATGGCAATCTTCTATCATACATACAAGAGAGAGTGTTGCATCAGATCTTGTCTGTAGTTTACTAGAAATGAGAGGATTGAAAGAAAATATTCATGTTGATTCTTTTTACAAGAACTGTTTTTTCAATTTACTGTCCTTTTTATTGTGTTTTTTAATTTTAATTTTTTTTCTCTTTCTTCTTGATGTCAGCCAATAGCATGCATAAACTTGATAAACACTTAAAAGATGCCAAATGAATACAATTAATAAACACGTACATACTGTCTTTAGGCGTTAATATACCTTAATTCTTATGCATACAAGTACTTTCAACATTGTATAAATACAAATACTCGGGGAAAACATTTTCACCTGATATTTATTCAATGTTGAAAGTACTTATGTGCATTAGAATTAAGTATATTAATGCCAAAAGACAGTATAGATATATGTATTTATTAACAATAACTTGCAAGCAAACTTTTAGTTTGGTCCCCATTTTCTGTTATGTAGAATTAATCTACAGTTTTAAAACTGTTTTTGAATAAAGGGAAGAATAATGTTATTATGTCATTGTCATGTGAACAATTATGGCAATGACAGAAAAGTTTGTTAAGAAGGCTTAAGATGAAATATTCTTGCATTTCATTGACATATAACAAGATCAACTTTTACTTTCCACTTAAATCAAATTCTCACACTTTAAAATAGTTCTTTATAAAACAAAATGTTTAATGCTGTATTCACCATTCACATTCTTGTTTTTGTTATAAATCAATTATCAGTATTAAAAATTTCTTTCATTTTGTACAGAAGTTAGTTTGATTTTGGACAGTAAATTCATAAGGCATTGTAAATTTTCTGTCTTTTGTCAGAATATACAGTGGAACCTCACATAACGAGCAAAACAAATTGTGAAAAAATGACTCACTTAACAAGTGAGTCATTTTGCATAATGAGTGATGAGGAGAAGGGAAGTCCCGGATTGTGCACATACTCCATCAGTCTGTTTAGCACTCATTCCTCTAGCATCTTAGTGTTGCTTGTGATCACACATTTTTCCAAACTTGTGTTCAGACATATTACATATAAAAATCAACAACCACAGCACATTATATAATAAACACATGCCAAATGATATGCCAAATTCTTGGGCTATATATCTATTAGAAATTAATTTGACTAGAGATAGGCAGTTATGCTTCCATCTTGTATTAAATTTAATAATTATAAATAATTAATTTTTAATTTAGACATTTCTGGAATTAACTGGAATTGGTTATTAAATTTAATACGAGATGGCAGCATAACTGCTTACCTCTAGTCAAATTATTTAATTTCTAATATTTAATTATAGCCTGTATATAGCCCAAGAATTTGGCATATCATTTGGCGTGTTTGTCAGACATATTATCTGTGATTTTTTCCCCCCTGCAAATCGAATTTGCATTTCATATTGGTTCAATCCATGCTAGAAGAAAAGATGATTCATGCTCCTTAACAATGTATATTGTATAATTTTCTTTGAATAAATGTTATACATAAAATACTTGAGTATTTTTTCAGCATGGAATGCATTATCATATTTTACATTAATTTATATGGGAAAAATTGTTTTGCTTAATGAGTGTTTCCCATTATGAGTAAGATTCTGGAACAAATTATGCTTGTTAAGTGAGGTTCCATTGTATTAAGTTGAAAATGTTGTTTGAATATATTAAATTCTTTCATTAATACTTGATATTTGTCATCATTATGTCTAAATCAAGTAACCAACACCTGAATGCAATTTCCAGCAAACAATAAAAAACAAATTTACAGCTCAAATGTTTTCAGCCATCATTTAGAAATCCTCATCAGGAATGAATACATAAAAAACAGTTCTGTCATTTGAACTTTGCTGTGTTCCAATCATTTAAACATTTAAAAAGATGTTCAATATGGACATTGATATTTTGTTTACATTACAAAATTAAATAAATAATAATTTTTAAATAAAGCTACATTTAAAATTATTATTATTGCATTCTGTTGCAATCTAAATAATATTTCCACGATTGCTGTACTGGAATACAGTCTGAGTTGATGCAATTTCCTTTTATGTCAGCTATATAAATTTCTAAAGTTTCCAAAGATCATATGTGTGAACCACGGGGAAGTCGGAACCGTCGACTCTCCCTTTTCTGCTACAGGTTGTTAAACCTGTTCACTTGTCAAGATGGCAAAATTTTGAATGTGGTCCCGAAGGGTTGGGATTCTTTTTGTCAGGTCGAGTGGAGGAGGTGAGAGGGGTTGTCAACGAGGCGTAGGCGATATGCGAGGAAATGACACCATTTAACAATGGAAACAACGATTTATTAGATTAACAAAAAAATTAACGATTACAAAATCTAACATTTGGAGAAATTAATTTAGTTCGCTAGCTCCTAACTCGCAGAGAGAGAGTTTACATTTAATACTCCTTACCTCTAGTATATTTTAATGTAGACATTAGGTTTATGCCCTTATTCTTCCGATCAACGCACAAAGTTAAAATCTTCCGAGACTTAATCCTTTTTGACCAGCCGTAGACGAAAGACTCTCCCGAGGAGAGAGAAAGAAGTCGCTTTTATAGCTTCAGGCTGGGGAAATTAGTCAGTTGATCCCCTATTGTGAGAGGTAGAGTTGGTCCTGCAGGTGTGAGGGTTAAAGTTGTTCCCAGGACCAAAACAAAATGACAAATTTGGACTTTAACTATAAATTTTTTGTCTTGCAGCAGAGGAATGTCATTGTTTGAGGGTTGAATGTTTATATTAACGATGAAAGTTATAAGTTTCTATTGATATTTGATTCTTTTTTCCTGACAATGTTATTTTAATGAGGAGGCGACAAATTTATTTCTCATACGTCGAAAATTTAGGGGAAAATGAACAATTTTGGCCTTACTCTGAGGTCGGATCTCGCATTCGTTGTGTTGGTCAAAGGCCCTATGTAAAAGGGTAGCTTCATCCTAACAGAGGAAACCCCAGGTTTGGCAGAATAATGGACAAGTGCTGTGTTATAATTCCTCTTGGTCATATCATATTTATGGTCACATATTCTGGTTTGAAGGGATCTGTATGTGGATTCAATATATGACACGCCTGTTAAATTGTAATGGAATACGATACACCACTGGCACTTTTGTGTCATCCAAGCTGTCTTTTGCATTAGATAAAAGACCAAAAACATTGAGTTTTCTCCTATAAGTTAAGTGCAAATTTAAATCACTAGCAATCCTATTGTAAATTTGATGTAGGGACTATTTGTAACATATAACTACACAATTACACTTTGCTTTGTTAACCCTTGTACCAGTGTTAGCTACCTTAGATTGTTGTGTGGAAGCGAGTATGTTGATTAACAAATGGCTTTACCCATCGGTGGAAGCTATACATATGAGGCAGTTAAGTTTGTTATTGGTATTGTATGTTTTAGAGCAATATGAGTAATCCCTTGTAACTAGGGCTCAGAATGCAGCTACCTTAAAAGGCCAAGGGTCTGCTGAGTTAGCAGGTATAAGGAGGGGAATGAGTCAAGGTGGCAGTTTAACAAGTTGTGGGTTTGCAGTAAATTGCAAACCCACAACTTGTCTCTGATTCCACTGCACTACTCTTCAAACTCCGTAATATTAATTTAAGTGGGAACAAATATCTTACAGTGTTTGATTTTGTATCAGTGTTCCCATTCATTTATTTGGAACCATGTTTTTGTTTGTTGAGAGATTTCTTTCTCACTATTACACATGATGTCCAGAGGTTCCATTCCTATATATTAGAACTTATGCACTTGATATGTTATTCTTCCTTTTTTACTGTGATGGACAAACTTATATTCAGAAAAGAAAGGGGAGATATCAATGGGTAGCCTTATCTCGGGAGAATGTTCAGCATAAATCTGAAGATCAAACAATGATCAGTGATACTGTTCTAAAATCTTTCAATTATTTCATATTTATTACTTTTTGTTAGATTGTTAGTATATTTTCATAAATTTTGTGTTATTGCAATTGTAAAATTGTTGCTATAATAAACTTATAATATGGTGATTATTTTGTAATTTAATATTCAATATATAAGTTAATCAAAGATTGAAAATAACCTTAAAAATTATAAGTGTTATTAATTTAATTATATAATCTAAAGTTTTATGCAAACAAACAATATAATATATTAAAATAATAAAGAATAAAATAATTTCAATATTCTTCTAGCAACTTTACCTTTGTTGCGACAGATTGACAATTTGCAGTCCACACTTGTTTCTCAATCAGCTAGTTGGGAGAAGACTGAAGAGAGTTTATATGACAAAATAAGTAATTAAAAAATTTATTAATATTTTTCATAACATTGTAAATAAAATAAGAAATGTAATCAAATCATAATTATTTATTAAAAAATACAATAATGTCAATTCAAAATTATATTGAAATTTATTATTAAATAATTCATCTCTTAATTCATAAATTATTTTTATCATATAATAGTTTCTAATTGTAATTGGCAACAGTTTCTTTATTGCCAATTAAGGGATTTGATTAGATTATTGGAACAAATACAGTAAAACCTGTCCAAAACAGAATCTGAATAAAATGGAAACCTGTCTGAATGGAAAATTCTTTTTTGAACAGAGCAATTTGCTATTTTAAATTTTGCTATAAGCCAGAAATTTAGCCAATGTGAAAATGGAAGAGATTTTTGGGTGTGAAGAAGATAACATAACCTGGATAAAGCAAAAAATTAAGATTCACTTGTAGACAAATAAGTGAAATTGCCTCCAGTTATAACAGTCACCATTTGTTTATAATGTCATCAAGGGAAGATAAAAGTACATTTGTAAACATTTACGATTATCCTTGTTGAATTTTGTTCATAAATACTAAAATCAGTTCTATGAGATGGAAAATAAATGGTGGAAATTGCAAACATGATCCAGTTGGAATAATATAAACTGAATTATATCTTGTTTATATCATTTAGCCTATGGTAAAATTGGTTTCATTATATTTTGTTTTGCTTAACGTTACAGTTTCCATGAATCTATTGACAATGTTAAGTGAGGACTTGCAGTATAAAAATTAATTTAAAATAATTTTATTTTAATATCCAAAAAGATAACTGATCAGTTAGAAAGGACAAAACTTTCAACATTAAATCTTTATTATTATTCATTTCAATGAACAGTGATATCAATAGCAAAATGAAATGTGTAATGGAATATGTTTGGCTTTGTAGACTCAAAGCATATTGTGTACAATGAATAAGTATTTAAAAAGACTAATAAATCTAAATTTTTAAAATTTGAATATGTTGTTAATTTACATAAATACAGCTTATATAGAAACATTTATATTTTTCTGCCCACTGGAAAAAAAATCAATTGAAAGGACAAATACATTTATTAAAATGAAAATTAATTTAATATATCTTTGATGATTCTAAAATTCTAAAAGAATTGTATAGAATTAAAAAGTTTGGAAAAAAAATGATTTTGATTTGTGTTACGAATATTTTTCAATGTTTAAACAAATGAAGTGAAGACTAGAATTGAATAAACAAAAATATTTAATCCTAAATTTATTTCTTTAATTTTAATTATTTTACTATAATATTATTAAGCTTTTTATTTTTTAGTCATAGAAATGTACTGTTGTTATAGAAAATTTGAATATTTATTTTAATTTGAGTTTTAATTTATGTTACAGTTTATGTTTGTTTTATATTTAAAGGTTTTTATAAAAATTATAATACTTAAATAACATTGCAATTAATATATTTTAGATGATCTTCAGAGGCATGTAGACTTATCAGAAAAAAAAGAAAGTATATTACAGAAAAAATATGACAATCTCTCATCCAAAATATCAGATTTAGAAATGCAAATTAATGTATTAAAACAAGAGAAAGCCCAACTCTCAACTCAATTGGAATTAAGTCAAATGAAAGTACTTATGCTAGAGGAAAGCAAAAATAAGTAAGTTTTTTCCGTTGAATTTTTAAACTTTTACAATAAAAAGATAACAATTAGAAATTAATTATTTGGTTTAAACATATGAAAGTAAATCATCTCAAATTTTGAGAATTGAACTTATATACAGTCTAACCTCAGTGCTGTGTTATAATTTCCCTTGGCTTTATCATATTTATGGTCACATATTCTGGTTTGAAGGTATCTGTATGTGGATCCAATGTATGGCACGCCTGTTAAATTGTAATGGAATATGATACACCACTGGCACTTTTGTGTCATCCAAGCTGTCTTTTGCATTAGATAAAAGGCAGTTTTAATTCATCCCTAAAAGTTGTTTGAAAACTGATTTTTTCTAAAACTGAAACAAATTTTCCAATAAGAAACAATGTAAAATGGATTAATTTGTTCNGTTCGGACCTGTCCAGAGCCTCACACATGCTTATTATTTTAAATTGTTTTATACACTAAAATTATCATAGAATATTTTTAGAATTTCTTTTTTTGTCTTATAAATTTATTTTTATCAAAATTGATAGAATTATTATGAAATTTTATTCAAAAATACATTCATGTGATTCAAATTAAAGTATATATTTAGGATAGTGCTTTTGTATTATTTTTATGATTTGTAGTAAATACAATGCCAACATAGTTGTTACATCATACATATGTTTTCATGCTCATGTATTATAAGTTAGTTTAACTGCCTGCTTGTGTATAGTCAGTTATTATATTTTTTCTTATCCTCCAATCATCATTTACTGTAAACATTGTATCAATCATTTAGACATTTGAAGATTTAAGTAATGTTTCTTATCAAACATTATTAAATAGAAAAAGAGTGAAGTGATATACTGTACAGGGCATGTAAATAGTACACTAATGTTTTGATTATTAAAGAAATTAAAAATGGGTTATTTTTGGCAAATTTGAAACTAATTTTCAAAAAAAAACTTTTAGACATTCTATATACATAATTTCAGTATAGCTTGATATGTGTAATTTTATAATATTTACTATTTACAATAGTGCAGTAATATAAACAAATTTTATAGCATTAAGTAATAGAAGAATAATTCTTACACTAAACCACTTAAAATATGTTTCATTTTAGAGAGAATGTGTCTGTTGCAGCTATGAAACAAACATTTGCTGAAGATTTAAATAGGCTAAAAGATGAAAAAGTAAGTAAAATATGTTGTAAACTTATTTATTTTTTATAACAAACTTATTTATTTTTAGGATTCATTAATTCATCAAATAGAAACATTACAATTAGATCTTGAAAATGAAAGGCTAAAAGTTCAAAAATATCAAGAACAATTAAATGAAAAGGTATTTAAAATATTTTTTATACATTAAATCACATTTTACATCTGTTTTAGTATTACATATTTGATGCCTGAGAAAAGTCATTTAAGATAAGTCTTATAAACTGAAATTTATTTCTGCTATTTCATACTATTATTATTGTGTATGTACATAATACATACATAAATGCATACATAAATATGAAATATATAGGCATGCATATACAGGGTGGTCCATTTATGATGATATTGGGAAATATTTTGAAAAATATGCATTCTAGAAAAAATGTTTTAGACCACATTTGTTTATATCAAGGTAACAAGATGGCAGTATTCTAATTGAAAATGAGGTTAACTTCATTTGTTTAAATGGGATACCCAGTTTTTTTATTGCATATTCTAATTCTATTGATACAAAAAAAAATAATAAACTTTTATCTGAAATATTTTTTTAAGAGATGTAATTATCGGAAGTTATACTTGTAAGTATTGGAAATTATGAGTTCATTTTCTGGGCCACCTGATCTCCTAAGGTAAAATATTTTATCTTAGGGAAACAAGCAGTCTAGAAACATTTTTGAAAATGCTTGAAAAGAGGTATATGATGAAGGTATTTGCTGCTGTCAGTAAAATATTTGTTAAAATAATAACACAATGTGTTTGTTTGTAAATGGAAACTATTATTAGGTTGTTATTACAATATAAATAGTAATTCAACTTGGAACCGTATTCAAAAAAACGAGAAAAAAATGCTTAATTCTGGAAACCAAATTAAATTTTTTATTCAGTAATGTGTTTTCTTTTATAAAAACATCATTAGCTGTGAAAATTAGCAAATGTGTTAGAACTAATACATTCAAAAGACAGAACATCTCTATTTTTAAACAGTTTCAAATTTAAAATTATAAGAAAAGCTATAATTATTCAGAAATTAATAAAATAAAGTAAAATTAAAATAAAACATGAAATTATAAATAAATTGAATTAAAATAGAACAGATTACAATGTTAAATGCAGGCTTATGTCCACATGAAATAAAAGGTATAATCATAATTTTTTAATAAACAATTACTGTAACTTTACAACTTTACAATAAAAAATCTCATGCTATATAAGCAGGAATAAAGAAGTAAGCATCGATTGGTTTTGTTGATTAAAAGAGTCATGTGATGCCACTTAAATCCCCTCAACCAACTTCCTCATCCCTATTTTGTCACAGATCAGATGGATCCATTTCAGAACTCTTTGATAACAGGTGGTGTATCCTGAAAATGCAAGTGATCAATTTCCAGTGGAACTCATTGATCATAAGCAGGTAAACACTTCATTGGGCCAAACTGATTTGATTTGTAAATGTTGACTATTACAATCTTATCTCAATAATTTAATAAAAACATTTCACATTTGACTTTAAAATTTTCAAATGAATTTCAATAAACTATTAAATATAATCACAAAACAGAAAGAATATTCTCAGTTATAATTTGTTTATTCCTGAAACTGTTTAAAAATAATTATGAATATAAACAATCCAGAAAGTAATCTAAGCTATTTATAATTTATAATATTTTTACTACACAACATTCAAGCTGTTACACAACAAGAGTTAAATCAGAAAGCTCAAGAGCTAGCTGTCAAAACATAATAAATGAGTTATAACAGATTGAGATATTAACTTCATATATTAACAAAAGAAAAATTTGTAAAACTTTCTTATACTGTAAGGTCTCATTTTATGCAGTGGATATGTTCTACAGAAAAGCGCATATAAAAAATTTGCATAAAAAAATACTTTACTTGCCTTGAAAAAGTAGGGATACGTTCCGTAATTTTCTAAAATCGCATAAAACCAAAACAATGAGTTAAAATTAACTTAAAACCGCATAAAAAAAGTTTGCAGAAATTAAAAGAAATAGGCTGCTTAATAAATTACTTCGAATGTCTGAAAGAAATTCATATAAAATTTAATTTCAAAACAATTACAGTTTATACCTTTCAATGCCAAACTCAGAATGATGTAATAGTGACTTGTCAATGGTATCATGTACAAGGGGAATCCGCGAATTGCAAAAGCTCACTCTAAAAACAAATCACTGACATCTGGATGTGAAGAGTTAATTAAATTTTAACCCTTTAGTTCCTCTCCCGAGTTAACTCGGGCAGGTTACATAGCGTTACATAAAACACGGTCCTTAAGATTTTTGAATTTTTTTTTTGAATTTTTGGAATGTTTTTAAGTCTCCAAATTTTTAAAAAATATTTAAAAATATACGGCCAGTTAGTGTTCACCCTACTTTAAACCCTTGTCCTCCCGCAACGTCTATGAGAATGCCCCGGGAAATCCAACTCCAGCTGTGTTCAAGGTCATCCAGATGTGTAAACAATGACTCATCGGTGTTAAATTTCACAGAAGGGCGAGACAAAGGAAGTTAAACTTTGAAGCTTTTTCTTCAAAATTAACGCATTTCTTTCGTTTTTTTCAGTTTTAAGTATTTTTTATGTTTAATTACATTTATATCAAAAATTGCTAGGAACTAAAGCGATTAAGGTAGATCTAGCTGTCCTTTACATCCATAAACGTTATATGTCAGCGGAACAAATGGAGTGAGCTTTGAGCATTCCATGATTTTTGGAGACTGTCCGTACGCTGGCTTTTTACACAAGTCTATATGTATGTTTGTCCAAGAAATTTTTGGACGAAATACAAACCGCACAACTTCAAAATCGCATAAAAATAATCCGCATAAAAAGAGACCTTATAGTATATAGTCATTTTAATTTGTTACAAAATAAAATATAAAAAATAATATATTTTTATAAGAAAGACTTAATACTTTTATAATTTTAATCATATCAATAATTCTTATTAACAATTTTAAAATAAAGTAATTCTAAACTGAAAATAATAAAATTTATAAAATCAAGAAAAGCACTCCTTACAAATTTATAAAAATTCTACTTTATTGAAGTAGAATTTTTATAAATAAATATCTATCTATAAATCTTACATTTTCAAGCACTTTTTGACTAGCAAAGTTTATCTTCAGAAGCATACAGACATGTAAATAGGTACATATCCAGACAGTTCTTAAAAGAAAATTTTAAGATTTATGTTTTAGTAAGTTTGAACATATATATACATATGGATTTGGCAGATACTTTGTGTATATGTGTATATATGTATATGTTCAAATTTACATTGGACCAAAAAATTAAGCTGACAGTAGGTGTTTATTGATTATGTGATGAATTAAAAATATACTGTTAAGATTACAATGTAACAAATTGTTATTATGTAATTTGCACTTATTACATCATAGGTACAGTACATGTATATACTAGTATATTAAAAATTATTGCAGAAATTTTTTAAGATTAAGTTTATTTTTAACATTCTAGAATAATAAACAGAGGAGTGAAAGTGGTAGTAATGGAACATCATCTCCTACAATATCAAGGTTAAGTTCTGTGAGTGATCGATTAAATTATTGGATGCAGGTACACATAATTTATTATTATTATTCTAAATGTATATAATAGTGAGGCTGCGGCTGATGTTTTCAATGTGAAAACATTACGTCAGACATTCAGTGCTGCCTTCCTGTAAGCCTAGAAGTTTGACAATGACATTTGGAATGTTGAGCAATGCCGCAACCTCGCTAATTAGTATTGATGTTGATTGAGTTTATAAAATTATATTATGTTAGAGCTTTAAGAATAAAGTTACAATTATGTTTAGCTAGGTAAAAATTCAGGAACTGAAATTATTGAGAATAAATTTGAATAAATTGAAGTTAAAACAACCTAAATATTGATTTATGGCAAACAATAATACATTTTATTTTTTGAAGAATCATTTTCTTCAAATTTATACTTAAAAGTTTTGATATATTTCAAATATAATTACTATTCAATAAGATTAGACAAATTTAGAGGATTCAAACTGTATAATTTTCAGAACAAGATAATGTTAATGATTAAGTTTGCATGTTGAATGATTTAATCTTCTTCCATTAAAACAATACTTTTTATTTAAATTTATAATGTTATATATAACTTAATAAAAATGAGAAGTATTCTTGATGATAAAAATTTCAGGATGATAAATATAATTAAAGTTCATAAAAATTTAATAAACTGGAAGGTGGCAGGTGAAACCTCAACATAAAGGTCAACTTTGACAAAAGACTTTATTCTGAGGTGTGTGAAAAGAATGAAGTGTGAAGACACTTTACTCATATTTAATGTTTTTTTTTTTTTCTATTTTTATGAACTATAAAAGAATATTTTTTTTTTATTAGTATATAATTAATATTTTTTAATATATTTTTGATATGAATTTATTATTTATACCATGGAATGACACTGCTAGAACACAGAATGACACGTTGCTGCTAGAATGCCCACTAGGGGGCATCCCGGCTACTAGTATATAAACCATTATATTCAATTGAAGAAAAAATAGTTGTTCTCTGGATCCAAACCTGTATATGTATTTCTGCTACAATGAATATTCTTTAGTACTCATTATCATGTTTAAATTGATGATTCCTGGTATTATGAATTTTTTATAAATGCAAAATTTTTACAAAATTTGGAAACTGTGTTAATGAAAGTGGGAAATAGGGAGCAACTTTATTCCCAGTTTACATTCTTATTTCTCAGTGACATTATGTCTGTTTTCTACTGCAGTTGTGTGCTTTAGTAATTTTTTTTTTACAAAATTTCAGTGTAATCTTACAAACTTATTAACAGTTTATTCTAATAGTATTTCTATCTTGTTTATTTATTTTCATTGTTGTTTTGCTTTTATAAATAATAATGGGTATTTTATATTAGAATATTATTACAACAATTTCATTATTTTTAATGCATATTAAAGAAAATGCAGTTCACATACAATTCTTAATAGCAAGTATTATAAAAACCTATTTGTTCATTACTGTTACAATGAGCACAACAAGATAATTACCTAATCATAGTTGATTCCACACACTATGATTAGATAGCTTAGGTTCTAGTCTCTATTTTTTTTAATTTCATTTATGTTGTGTCTTTGTTTTTTTGCTATATGTATGTAGATAATAAATACCAGTTGTACATCTTTACATTACAGATCATTTTATTATGATTATAACTTCATTAATTAAAAAACAACTTTCTTTTAATATTTGACTTGTTTTCTACTTATTTTCTTAACTGACTATTATTTTCTTATCATTTAAATAAAATGTCTGATAATTTACTTATGTAATTATTTCTCTTATTCACATTTGTTTCTTTTATATATTGGAGAATAATCAACACTTTCATTTACTTTAGTTCATTGAGTCATTAGTTGATAGATAAATATTTTGTTTTTTCTACAATCTTATTTGGAGAACACAGCTGGGATGACTATGTTATGTAGGAATGAGGTTCATATTTTGACCATAAGAAATAGTAGAAAAGAGCATCCTGATTATAAACCAGGATTGCACTGTATATGTTTATTAATGTTAATGAAATAATAAAGTTCTATTCATTATAAAACAAATTTTATCAATTGTTTAATGTCATCAATATTTTTCATTTACTTTTGACTTTATATGAAATTTGTTAATTTTTAGAAAATTATTTTGATTTTATTAATACAAAATTAATTTTTATTATTATTCATTTAAGAATATTTATCCTACTAATTAACTATTACTTTTAGTACTTAAATTTTAAATAGATAATTTATTTTATTTTGTGTTATTTTAGATTTAATTAAATTATATAGATTAATTGTTGAAAATTTTCTTTTTATTTTAAGACAATTTGATTCATTTTGCTTCTGTTGTACTTTATTTCTTCAAAATTTTCTGAATTCCTCTCTTCCATTATACAAGGAAGAAATGCTTCAAGGAAGAAATAAGTCTACTAATGTTAATGTCAAAGGAACCATCTAAAAATGGAATTGTGATAACTTTTAAAAGTTTAATAACACAGATAAATCATATGAAATGATTGCATTGAAGCATGATATATATAAACTGATATTCATGAAAAGCATGTAATTCACAATACTGTCTATTTAACAGAAATTTTGGAGAATAGGAGGGTAGTAAATTTTTGTCTGTTTCCTGCTGAAAATGTTTGTTTAATCAAGGCAAAATACTTTGCGTCTTATTACTATGTTGGGACTGGATGTTTTGTCTGCTAAACTCAGGTTTCACTATATAAAAATGATTATATGAGCCATTCACAGGTCAAATTAATTAACTCCATTAATATATCATTGGAATAATTGTTGTTATTTTTACATCTTTCATGTAATCAATGTTATATATTGTTACATTAAAGCATAGCTTTAATATGACAGTACATAAAAATACATTCTACAATCTTTATTTAAATATAGAGTTTAAAAGGAATTTTAAAAAATAATATGTATTATCAATTTCTCTACTTTTGTTTTATGGAGTTAATCAATTTAGCAAATGAGCAGCTCATACATGCATTTTCAGATATATTGCAAAAGGAATTATGTATAATTTCAAATATTTATAAATCTATCATCATTTAGGATTCTCATGAACCACCCTTGGGAATGTCGTCATCAATGTACAGTAATGCATCTCTCTATGAAACGCTTCGTTTAGGAAGTGCATCATCTCTTCTAGAAAACTTACAGTCTCAATTAAAGCAAAGAGAAGGCGAAATATCATTATTTCAAGTAATTTGACATGAGTGATTTTATAGAGTTAGGATTTACTTTTTGATAAAATTAGAATTTATTTTATTTTTAGTCAGAAATTGCTCAGTTAGAAAGGATACGAGGATCTATGGCAAAAGAATTAGCTGATGTATCCTGTCAGTATGAAATGGTAAAATCGGAGCTAGAAGAAATGAAAAATATGAAAACTGCATATGCAGTAAGTATATATGTATATTCATTTAAGTAAGAAGTTTGCAAAATTTCTGAATTATAAATTTTTCATAATTATTTAGGATATGGAACAGAAATATAATACACTATTACAAATGTATGGTGAGAAAGTTGAAGAAACAGAGGAATTACAGTTAGATTTGCAAGACGTAAAAGCCATGTATAGGGCACAGGTATGTCTTTACATTTTAGAAATTTTAAAAATAAAATTGTATCAAATTAAATAGTTTTCCCAAATTCTAATGGCATGACATTGGGATTACTGATTTTGATCAAATTTGGGGAGGATATAGTGCATCCCCAACAACTGCCAAGCAGTAAGGTACAATACTCAAAATTAAATGAGAAAATTGAAGTTGAAAATTGCACAGTGACTTAAAACCATTCGAATTTCTATTATTTATAGTGTGATCAGTGGCTCTGTGGGAGTGTACAGTTTCTTAATCAAGAAAGTTGGTGTTTCAAATCAGTAACAATGTGGTTTTCTTTTCATAAAACCATACATTTTTACTTTATTCTTGGTATTTTTAAATTTATTATATTTATTTACAAATTATTTTTGAATAGTTATGTACAGTACATATGGGATTTGTACATGAGATTTATAATTTATTTGGGAATTGGGTAAGATATAAACAAAATTATAGTTATTCAAGACCAATTTTGTTAATAAAGACATTTTTATTAATATTATTCAATTTGTAAGGACAAGTTTGTGAATAATAATTGCCATAGAAGCATGTGAAACAATAAACATTTCTGCAGTGTGTACAGAAATGGTTTATTGTTTGCAGCATTTTTACAATAACAATATTGTAATACAAGTTCAAGTTCTTTATTGCCGTACAAAGGTACAAGCCTGGTACCACATAAGCACAACCGGTAATATTGTAATATAGTCAATCCCCCCTATAGCACTGTTGATTATTCTGTTTTATATGATATCCATGTGCAAGTCACTTAGATTTTACAAATACATGTGCCGGGCTGTGAACAGCTCACGTATTTGTAAAATCTAAGTGACTCGTACAACATGGAATTCATATAAAACGGAATAATCAACAGTGTTATAGGAGGATCGACTGTATACATATCACTGGAAAAACAAATTTGATTAACTTTTGAAAACATTTCTCTGTCTTCAACTAATTTGGAGAATCATGCAGCCATCTCATATTTGAAAATATTAGAGTGCTTAATTGATGATGTATTATAAAATATAATGTAATAAAACTTCTCCAGAAACTGGATTATACTATATTGTACCAGTACAAAAATTCACTATCTTTATATTCACCCAGCTGATTTTTCTGAAAAAATGAACGTTTTTAGTCTACTTCTAATTCAGTCTAATTTTTCACCTGCTTCAGCTGAAAAATTTTTAAACAGATGGAACTTCTAACATTTTGATGTTCTAATATGTCGAATGCAGAAGAGCTCACACGTAAATTTTGAATTTAAATTTTACAGAATTGACCAATAGGATGCACTCAAGTGTAAAAGCTCTAAAACTGTTTTTCATAATGACATATCAAAAAGAGCCTGCCATGTTTGTGAAATGTAAAATGCACTTCTTCTCCTCAAAGTTTATACATTGACCCTGCTTCTGTGCTTTAAAAATCTCTAGTGCCTCTATGAGTTGGTCTGTGTCTGCCATTGTTCTAATTAATGTAGCACTTTGTAAATTAAGTTTATATATATAATTTAAGTCAAAAATTAATATAAAAATAAAACTGCAAGTAATTTAAGTAAGCTTTAAAATATGGTAATATATGGTCATGTTTGTAAAAGTTGCAACACCATGAAGGAATCTTTAGAAATGAATGAAATTTATTTTACTTGTAACCTGTAGTGATACAAAGAAACAATTAAATTTACAGTGCAATCAAACAATATTACATGCCAAAAGTCAATATTTGGTAAAGCCGCCATGCACTTCAGTAAAAGTTTCTACATGTCTTGGCATCAAATCAAATCAAACAGGTTTTGAATGTGTACCTGAGAAATAGCATTCACAATTGCTTCTATCTGAACCCAAAGTTCATCCGTATTGACTATGGGACAAGTACTATCAGTATTTCTGGCCCATGAAATCCCAGACATGCTGAATAGGTGACATGTCTGGTGAATGGGCAGACCAAGGAAGAAGCAATATCTGTCATGCTGAAAAGAAGTCTAGAACATTCCTAGCAACATGTGGGTGAGCATTGTCTTATTGAAATACAACTCCAGGAATGTGTTGAAGGAAGAGTACAACTTTAGGCCCCACAACTTCCCCAATGTAATGGTTGCTGTTGAGAGTACCCTCAATTCTGAGCATCTGAGATTGCCCATGATATCCAATACTGTCCCAGACCATCATGTCTTTTGATCACCCAGTATGATGCTGGCTGGATAAGGCACTGTGGAAGATGACATTCACCTCTATAGTGTCTAATGTGTACTCGACCATCATTGTACTCTAAATTGAAATAGAATTCATTGGAAAAGACTATTAGTTACCAATCTCCAATGCCATCGGTTGTGTTATTGAGCCACAGGTGTTGATGGTTTTGCACTGGAAATCCTGCACAAAGGAATACTTACATGCAATCCATGGCATAACAGTCATTGGCAAACTGTGGATGCAGACAATGGCACACCTGTAGCAGTGCTCTAATGTTGTGCCAACTGTCAAGATGAAGCTGTATGATCTGCAATTGTCATGCAGATAAAGTGTCTGTTGTCCCATGTTGACGTAACATTTCGTCATCCACTGCCAGATTTGCAATTCGTCTGGTATTCTTCAACCTGCTGCTTCCACAATCACATCACTGTCATGGCATTACACCCCACACAAGCTGCAATTTTGTGATAAGAAAATCCCTCTTCATGCAGATCAATCATTTACCCTGTTCAAACTTCTTAACCTGCTCATATGTTCATAACCCTTTGTCATTAATGAGGCAGAGTGACTTCTCATGAAATGTTTACCAGTGGCAGATAATGATACACTACTTCCAACTTTCAGCTACTGCCCTCTATTTGCTAACATGACTATTCAGAGGGTGCTTCTCAGCCCACTCATATGCTATCACTGATCCCTGATATTCTAATCATTTGCATGTCATACCCTGCTTTTCATTGCACTGAAGTAAGTTTCAGTTTACTTGAATGATTCCTTTATGGTTTTGCAATTTTTACAAACATTTTCTGAATAATGAATTATATCTCTTATAACTTGTATGTAAATTGCTATATAATTATTATATAAAAATTATGTTTTTACTGTTAATCATTTCAGCTTGATGAACTACTCAAAAAATCCTGAAGATTGTTTCAACAGGAATTAGGAATTGAATTTATTTTTTTTTATTTAAAAATAAATTGGTGATGGTATAAATGTTATTCCAATAATCAACTTATATAAGAAAATGAATATCATTTCTAATAACTAAATGATTATAACAAATGCGTAATTCCATATAGCTGTTTCTTTTGAAATTTGATAGCTTTCATATCTTTCTTTGCAAATTCCCAATTAATGCCATAAAATCTGTTGTGCCTTATACTTTTAAAAATATTCTAAATATTTACTTCAAATAATTTCAAACATCCAANAATTTATGTTACAGTTTATGTTTGTTTTATATTTAAAGGTTTTTATAAAAATTATAATACTTAAATAACATTGCAATTAATATATTTTAGATGATCTTCAGAGGCATGTAGACTTATCAGAAAAAAAAGAAAGTATATTACAGAAAAAATATGACAATCTCTCATCCAAAATATCAGATTTAGAAATGCAAATTAATGTATTAAAACAAGAGAAAGCCCAACTCTCAACTCAATTGGAATTAAGTCAAATGAAAGTACTTATGCTAGAGGAAAGCAAAAATAAGTAAGTTTTTTCCGTTGAATTTTTAAACTTTTACAATAAAAAGATAACAATTAGAAATTAATTATTTGGTTTAAACATATGAAAGTAAATCATCTCAAATTTTGAGAATTGAACTTATATACAGTCTAACCTCAGTGCTGTGTTATAATTTCCCTTGGCTTTATCATATTTATGGTCACATATTCTGGTTTGAAGGTATCTGTATGTGGATCCAATGTATGGCACGCCTGTTAAATTGTAATGGAATATGATACACCACTGGCACTTTTGTGTCATCCAAGCTGTCTTTTGCATTAGATAAAAGGCAGTTTTAATTCATCCCTAAAAGTTGTTTGAAAACTGATTTTTTCTAAAACTGAAACAAATTTTCCAATAAGAAACAATGTAAAATGGATTAATTTGTTCTGAACCCCCAAAACAAAACCTGTTTTTTACCTTGTTAGCTGTATTTTATGCATAAAATGCCTATAAAGGCAATATTATATTATATACCATATTATTTCATCTATATCTATACTTATATTTATTCTATATATATACATATACAGTGGATTCTGCATAATTGGGACATTGGTTAATTGGGGCAGCTGCTTTATTGGGCCAAATCTCAAAGAATGGAAACTAATAAATTAATACATAACTTTTAATCACTTAATTGGGACAGTAGCAGAAAAGGAATTTAGCTATTTTTGATATATTTTAGTAATCTTTCGAAAATATGTAGGCACTACGTACACTAATGTCATGTAGGCCTAATGATTGGCAGAGACAAAGCTATTTTGTCTTGCTCAGGCAGTTCAGTTTTTCCAGAAGGGGTCAACATAGTGGGATATATCACACGGAATTTCATCTGAGGCAGACCTGAATGTGAGTTACTGACCCTGCTCTGGATTGTACTGGATGATCCACTTAAAAGCGAAGGGACAAAGGTTGTCGGACAATTTTTTGAGGTCTCTTAACTGAGTTGGAAGACAGCTAGAGTTCTCTTGGAAGGTATTGTGTGCATAATTATATCTAGATTCAACAGCAGCCATCCAATTGTTGAGACCAGCATTGAGCTTGACGGATTCTACAGACACTCCCACTGAAGTGGCCCATCCATCTCCAAGTAAAGAAAACTGCTCAAAAGAAGACTGTAAAATGACTTTTGGATGAACCCTTTTCTTTCTCCCTTTTTAGTTAGAACATGTTTTAACTAAAAAGAAAGGAAGGAAAAATTTTTTGATCAGGAACGGATTGAATGGTCAATCCTTGTTTACGTCACTATTAATATTTGGCAACACTAGCATTACATGAATCAGTTACTTATTGTCATGAGTGTGGCAAATTTATAGTATAAATATTTTCTGTATTTTGGTTTAATAAAACATTGAAATAGATACCTAATTATTATTTTTTACCTACTTATTTATTTACCTATATATTACATATTTTATTGTATAATTTATTATTAGTTCATTTAATTGGGGAAGCCACTTAATTGGGCCAAAATGGATTAGTCCCAATGTGTCCCAGTTAAGCAAAATTCACTGTATTAAAATGAAAATGCTCCCTCGCTGGTAACGGAAACCAAAACTAACACTTTACAAAGAACTATAAATAGAGACTCAACTCTGACTGTGGAGATGAAATATAACAAAATCTATCAATACCAACAAGTACTTTATCCATGCTTTTCAAAATATTGTGTTTCAGTTGATTTGATTTCAATTTTAATTAAAATTAATTAATTTTTATTATACATGAATTTACNTTAAAATTATAAGAAAAGCTATAATTATTCAGAAATTAATAAAATAAAGTAAAATTAAAATAAAACATGAAATTATAAATAAATTGAATTAAAATAGAACAGATTACAATGTTAAATGCAGGCTTATGTCCACCTACACTATGCAACCAAACATTCCACCATATTGATGCTGCTTCTAGATAAGTTGGAAAGAATTTTTTGGATAAAAAAGATATTATCATAAGAGTCTAAAATAACAGTCCATCTACTGTCTAAGTCAAGAGTCATGGGCATTAATAATTCTAAGATTGTGTGCAAAAAGCTATATGTAGTACTGCTGCATTAATCATATTGTTTGCTTATCCACCCAGCTTTTAATCATTACAGGGGTTTTCCAATAAACCTGGACCTTCTTGTTAATGCCCATTGTGTCAATGCCACAGCACATTTTTGTTTTTCTACATAAAGTTAAAAGTGTTTCTTAACACACTACCATAGCATTCTGTACATTGATTCTACAATAGTAAAAGTTCTTTTCTCCTTGATACACTGGATCAAAAAATTAAGTTAACAGTAGGTGTTTAGTGATTGAAAAATGTTTGTTAAGACTACAGTGCTAACAAATTTTCATTATGTAATTTGCACTTTATGCTATGGATACATGTGCATATTTAAGTATTTATTCATCATTTTATATATACTTTTTGAACTTCTTAAAATTGGGAAACATTGCATCTATATCTGCATACTTTCAAGTGATGTTAATTTTTGAAATAAGATAATTCATTTATGATAATTGCTTGATTATATCCCATAAAAATAAAAATAAAAGTAATTAGATCTGACAGAATTAACTGTTTAATCTTAAACAATATTTTTCCGAGTAAAACAATAAAATTATAATTTGACTAACTTCTAAGCATTGATGGTGTGGGTTGTGGCTCCACTGACAACCTCCCACTAAAATAAGTTTTTAAGAAATAGTACTAATTATTTAACTTTTAATAAAAGTAAACTGAGTTGTTATGAGCAATTTGGGTTTATAAAGCCTTGCATTGCTTTGGTCTTTGATCAGAGTAAACCTAGAATGAATACAGTTTGTTGGAAGAATGAGAGGCAACACTTAATGGAAAAAAGAGAAACAAAAGGCAGGCGACAAAACCAACAATAAAGAGCGTTCAAAGAGCCATATTAGATAAATTAAAAATGCCTTGTACAATATCAAAAGATATTTGAAAATTAGTAGTTGAGCATAGAGAAGGGAAATCAGTGAGAGATAGCAACAATCACATTAGAATGGAAACCAGAGCTTTTATTTACAATTAACAGCTTGTTGACAATAGCAATGGGGTGGATGGTGGCTCTACTAAGAATCTCTGCCTAAAATAATAAACTCTTAAATTAATACACTGACCGTGAAAGAAAACACTTCCTTCTTTACAACTGAAACCAACATCAGTCTGAAACTTGAGCTAAGTGAAAGTTGATATGTTTATTTTTTTGCTTTTTTGAATCAAATTACAAAATAAATATAAAAAAATGTTGAAAGAAAGAAAACAGATTGAAATAAAAGGTATAATCATAATTTTTTAATAAACGATTACTGTAACTTTACAACTTTACAATAAAAAATCTCATGCTATATAAGCAGGAATACATGCTTATTATTTTAAATTGTTTTATACACTAAAATTATCATAGAATATTTTTAGAATTTCTTTTTTTGTCTTATAAATTTATTTTTATCAAAATTGATAGAATTATTATGAAATTTTATTCAAAAATACATTCATGTGATTCAAATTAAAGTATATATTTAGGATAGTGCTTTTGTATTATTTTTATGATTTGTAGTAAATACAATGCCAACATAGTTGTTACATCATACATATGTTTTCATGCTCATGTATTATAAGTTAGTTTAACTGCCTGCTTGTGTATAGTCAGTTATTATATTTTTTCTTATCCTCCAATCATCATTTACTGTAAACATTGTATCAATCATTTAGACATTTGAAGATTTAAGTAATGTTTCTTATCAAACATTATTAAATAGAAAAAGAGTGAAGTGATATACTGTACAGGGCATGTAAATAGTACACTAATGTTTTGATTATTAAAGAAATTAAAAATGGGTTATTTTTGGCAAATTTGAAACTAATTTTCAAAAAAAAACTTTTAGACATTCTATATACATAATTTCAGTATAGCTTGATATGTGTAATTTTATAATATTTACTATTTACAATAGTGCAGTAATATAAACAAATTTTATAGCATTAAGTAATAGAAGAATAATTCTTACACTAAACCACTTAAAATATGTTTCATTTTAGAGAGAATGTGTCTGTTGCAGCTATGAAACAAACATTTGCTGAAGATTTAAATAGGCTAAAAGATGAAAAAGTAAGTAAAATATGTTGTAAACTTATTTATTTTTTATAACAAACTTATTTATTTTTAGGATTCATTAATTCATCAAATAGAAACATTACAATTAGATCTTGAAAATGAAAGGCTAAAAGTTCAAAAATATCAAGAACAATTAAATGAAAAGGTATTTAAAATATTTTTTATACATTAAATCACATTTTACATCTGTTTTAGTATTACATATTTGATGCCTGAGAAAAGTCATTTAAGATAAGTCTTATAAACTGAAATTTATTTCTGCTATTTCATACTATTATTATTGTGTATGTACATAATACATACATAAATGCATACATAAATATGAAATATATAGGCATGCATATACAGGGTGGTCCATTTATGATGATATTGGGAAATATTTTGAAAAATATGCATTCTAGAAAAAATGTCTTAGACCACATTTGTTTATATCAAGGTAACAAGATGGCAGTATTCTAATTGAAAATGAGGTTAACTTCATGTGTTTAAATGGGATACCCAGTTTTTTTATTGCATATTCTAATTCTATTGATACAAAAAAAAATAATAAATTTTTATCTGAAATATTTTTTTAAGAGATGTAATTATCGGAAGTTATACTTGTAAGTATTGGAAATTATGAGTTCATTTTCTGGGCCACCTGATCTCCTAAGGTAAAATATTTTATCTTAGGGAAACAAGCAGTCTAGAAACATTTTTGAAAATGCTTGAAAAGAGGTATATGATGAAGGTATTTGCTGCTGTCAGTAAAATATTTGTTAAAATAATAACACAATGTGTTTGTTTGTAAATGGAAACTATTATTAGGTTGTTATTACAATATAAATAGTAATTCAACTTGGAACCGTATTCAAAAAAACGAGAAAAAAATGCTTAATTCTGGAAACCAAATTAAATTTTTTATTCAGTAATGTGTTTTCTTTTATAAAAACATCATTAGCTGTGAAAATTAGCAAATGTGTTAGAACTAATACATTCAAAAGACAGAACATCTCTATTTTTAAACAGTTTCAAATTTAAAATTATAAGAAAAGCTATAATTATTCAGAAATTAATAAAATAAAGTAAAATTAAAATAAAACATGAAATTATAAATAAATTGAATTAAAATAGAACAGATTACAATGTTAAATGCAGGCTTATGTCCACCTACACTATGCAACCAAACATTCCACCATATTGATGCTGCTTCTAGATAAGTTGGAAAGAATTTTTTGGATAAAAAAGATATTATCATAAGAGTCTAAAATAACAGTCCATCTACTGTCTAAGTCAAGAGTCATGGGCATTAATAATTCTAAGATTGTGTGCAAAAAGCTATATGTAGTACTGCTGCATTAATCATATTGTTTGCTTATCCACCCAGCTTTTAATCATTACAGGGGTTTTCCAATAAACCTGGACCTTCTTGTTAATGCCCATTGTGTCAATGCCACAGCACATTTTTGTTTTTCTACATAAAGTTAAAAGTGTTTCTTAACACACTACCATAGCATTCTGTACATTGATTCTACAATAGTAAAAGTTCTTTTCTCCTTGATACACTGGATCAAAAAATTAAGTTAACAGTAGGTGTTTAGTGATTGAAAAATGTTTGTTAAGACTACAGTGCTAACAAATTTTCATTATGTAATTTGCACTTTATGCTATGGATACATGTGCATATTTAAGTATTTATTCATCATTTTATATATACTTTTTGAACTTCTTAAAATTGGGAAACATTGCATCTATATCTGCATACTTTCAAGTGATGTTAATTTTTGAAATAAGATAATTCATTTATGATAATTGCTTGATTATATCCCATAAAAATAAAAATAAAAGTAATTAGATCTGACAGAATTAACTGTTTAATCTTAAACAATATTTTTCCGAGTAAAACAATAAAATTATAATTTGACTAACTTCTAAGCATTGATGGTGTGGGTTGTGGCTCCACTGACAACCTCCCACTAAAATAAGTTTTTAAGAAATAGTACTAATTATTTAACTTTTAATAAAAGTAAACTGAGTTGTTATGAGCAATTTGGGTTTATAAAGCCTTGCATTGCTTTGGTCTTTGATCAGAGTAAACCTAGAATGAATACAGTTTGTTGGAAGAATGAGAGGCAACACTTAATGGAAAAAAGAGAAACAAAAGGCAGGCGACAAAACCAACAATAAAGAGCGTTCAAAGAGCCATATTAGATAAATTAAAAATGCCTTGTACAATATCAAAAGATATTTGAAAATTAGTAGTTGAGCATAGAGAAGGGAAATCAGTGAGAGATAGCAACAATCACATTAGAATGGAAACCAGAGCTTTTATTTACAATTAACAGCTTGTTGACAATAGCAATGGGGTGGATGGTGGCTCTACTAAGAATCTCTGCCTAAAATAATAAACTCTTAAATTAATACACTGACCGTGAAAGAAAACACTTCCTTCTTTACAACTGAAACCAACATCAGTCTGAAACTTGAGCTAAGTGAAAGTTGATATGTTTATTTTTTTGCTTTTTTGAATCAAATTACAAAATAAATATAAAAAAATGTTGAAAGAAAGAAAACAGATTGAAATAAAAGGTATAATCATAATTTTTTAATAAACGATTACTGTAACTTTACAACTTTACAATAAAAAATCTCATGCTATATAAGCAGGAATAAAGAAGTAAGCATCGATTGGTTTTGTTGATTAAAAGAGTCATGTGATGCCACTTAAATCCCCTCAACCAACTTCCTCATCCCTATTTTGTCACAGATCAGATGGATCCATTTCAGAACTCTTTGATAACAGGTGGTGTATCCTGAAAATGCAAGTGATCAATTTCCAGTGGAACTCATTGATCATAAGCAGGTAAACACTTCATTGGGCCAAACTGATTTGATTTGTAAATGTTGACTATTACAATCTTATCTCAATAATTTAATAAAAACATTTCACATTTGACTTTAAAATTTTCAAATGAATTTCAATAAACTATTAAATATAATCACAAAACAGAAAGAATATTCTCAGTTATAATTTGTTTATTCCTGAAACTGTTTAAAAATAATTATGAATATAAACAATCCAGAAAGTAATCTAAGCTATTTATAATTTATAATATTTTTACTACACAACATTCAAGCTGTTACACAACAAGAGTTAAATCAGAAAGCTCAAGAGCTAGCTGTCAAAACATAATAAATGAGTTATAACAGATTGAGATATTAACTTCATATATTAACAAAAGAAAAATTTGTAAAACTTTCTTATACTGTAAGGTCTCATTTTATGCAGTGGATATGTTCTACAGAAAAGCGCATATAAAAAATTTGCATAAAAAAATACTTTACTTGCCTTGAAAAAGTAGGGATACGTTCCGTAATTTTCTAAAATCGCATAAAACCAAAACAATGAGTTAAAATTAACTTAAAACCGCATAAAAAAAGTTTGCAGAAATTAAAAGAAATAGGCTGCTTAATAAATTACTTCGAATGTCTGAAAGAAATTCATATAAAATTTAATTTCAAAACAATTACAGTTTATACCTTTCAATGCGAAACTCAGAATGATGTAATAGCCACNCCTAATCATAGTTGATTCCACACACTATGATTAGATAGCTTAGGTTCTAGTCTCTATTTTTTTTAATTTCATTTATGTTGTGTCTTTGTTTTTTTGCTATATGTATGTAGATAATAAATACCAGTTGTACATCTTTACATTACAGATCATTTTATTATGATTATAACTTCATTAATTAAAAAACAACTTTCTTTTAATATTTGACTTGTTTTCTACTTATTTTCTTAACTGACTATTATTTTCTTATCATTTAAATAAAATGTCTGATAATTTACTTATGTAATTATTTCTCTTATTCACATTTGTTTCTTTTATATATTGGAGAATAATCAACACTTTCATTTACTTTAGTTCATTGAGTCATTAGTTGATAGATAAATATTTTGTTTTTTCTACAATCTTATTTGGAGAACACAGCTGGGATGACTATGTTATGTAGGAATGAGGTTCATATTTTGACCATAAGAAATAGTAGAAAAGAGCATCCTGATTATAAACCAGGATTGCACTGTATATGTTTATTAATGTTAATGAAATAATAAAGTTCTATTCATTATAAAACAAATTTTATCAATTGTTTAATGTCATCAATATTTTTCATTTACTTTTGACTTTATATGAAATTTGTTAATTTTTAGAAAATTATTTTGATTTTATTAATACAAAATTAATTTTTATTATTATTCATTTAAGAATATTTATCCTACTAATTAACTATTACTTTTAGTACTTAAATTTTAAATAGATAATTTATTTTATTTTGTGTTATTTTAGATTTAATTAAATTATATAGATTAATTGTTGAAAATTTTCTTTTTATTTTAAGACAATTTGATTCATTTTGCTTCTGTTGTACTTTATTTCTTCAAAATTTTCTGAATTCCTCTCTTCCATTATACAAGGAAGAAATGCTTCAAGGAAGAAATAAGTCTACTAATGTTAATGTCAAAGGAACCATCTAAAAATGGAATTGTGATAACTTTTAAAAGTTTAATAACACAGATAAATCATATGAAATGATTGCATTGAAGCATGATATATATAAACTGATATTCATGAAAAGCATGTAATTCACAATACTGTCTATTTAACAGAAATTTTGGAGAATAGGAGGGTAGTAAATTTTTGTCTGTTTCCTGCTGAAAATGTTTGTTTAATCAAGGCAAAATACTTTGCGTCTTATTACTATGTTGGGACTGGATGTTTTGTCTGCTAAACTCAGGTTTCACTATATAAAAATGATTATATGAGCCATTCACAGGTCAAATTAATTAACTCCATTAATATATCATTGGAATAATTGTTGTTATTTTTACATCTTTCATGTAATCAATGTTATATATTGTTACATTAAAGCATAGCTTTAATATGACAGTACATAAAAATACATTCTACAATCTTTATTTAAATATAGAGTTTAAAAGGAATTTTAAAAAATAATATGTATTATCAATTTCTCTACTTTTGTTTTATGGAGTTAATCAATTTAGCAAATGAGCAGCTCATACATGCATTTTCAGATATATTGCAAAAGGAATTATGTATAATTTCAAATATTTATAAATCTATCATCATTTAGGATTCTCATGAACCACCCTTGGGAATGTCGTCATCAATGTACAGTAATGCATCTCTCTATGAAACGCTTCGTTTAGGAAGTGCATCATCTCTTCTAGAAAACTTACAGTCTCAATTAAAGCAAAGAGAAGGCGAAATATCATTATTTCAAGTAATTTGACATGAGTGATTTTATAGAGTTAGGATTTACTTTTTGATAAAATTAGAATTTATTTTATTTTTAGTCAGAAATTGCTCAGTTAGAAAGGATACGAGGATCTATGGCAAAAGAATTAGCTGATGTATCCTGTCAGTATGAAATGGTAAAATCGGAGCTAGAAGAAATGAAAAATATGAAAACTGCATATGCAGTAAGTATATATGTATATTCATTTAAGTAAGAAGTTTGCAAAATTTCTGAATTATAAATTTTTCATAATTATTTAGGATATGGAACAGAAATATAATACACTATTACAAATGTATGGTGAGAAAGTTGAAGAAACAGAGGAATTACAGTTAGATTTGCAAGACGTAAAAGCCATGTATAGGGCACAGGTATGTCTTTACATTTTAGAAATTTTAAAAATAAAATTGTATCAAATTAAATAGTTTTCCCAAATTCTAATGGCATGACATTGGGATTACTGATTTTGATCAAATTTGGGGAGGATATAGTGCATCCCCAACAACTGCCAAGCAGTAAGGTACAATACTCAAAATTAAATGAGAAAATTGAAGTTGAAAATTGCACAGTGACTTAAAACCATTCGAATTTCTATTATTTATAGTGTGATCAGTGGCTCTGTGGGAGTGTACAGTTTCTTAATCAAGAAAGTTGGTGTTTCAAATCAGTAACAATGTGGTTTTCTTTTCATAAAACCATACATTTTTACTTTATTCTTGGTATTTTTAAATTTATTATATTTATTTACAAATTATTTTTGAATAGTTATGTACAGTACATATGGGATTTGTACATGAGATTTATAATTTATTTGGGAATTGGGTAAGATATAAACAAAATTATAGTTATTCAAGACCAATTTTGTTAATAAAGACATTTTTATTAATATTATTCAATTTGTAAGGACAAGTTTGTGAATAATAATTGCCATAGAAGCATGTGAAACATTAAACATTTCTGCAGTGTGTACAGAAATGGTTTATTGTTTGCAGCATTTTTACAATAACAATATTGTAATACAAGTTCAAGTTCTTTATTGCCGTACAAAGGTACAAGCCTGGTACCACATAAGCACAACCGGTAATATTGTAATATAGTCAATCCCCCCTATAGCACTGTTGATTATTCTGTTTTATATGATATCCATGTGCAAGTCACTTAGATTTTACAAATACATGTGCCGGGCTGTGAACAGCTCACGTATTTGTAAAATCTAAGTGACTCGTACAACATGGAATTCATATAAAACGGAATAATCAACAGTGTTATAGGAGGATCGACTGTATACATATCACTGGAAAAACAAATTTGATTAACTTTTGAAAACATTTCTCTGTCTTCAACTAATTTGGAGAATCATGCAGCCATCTCATATTTGAAAATATTAGAGTGCTTAATTGATGATGTATTATAAAATATAATGTAATAAAACTTCTCCAGAAACTGGATTATACTATATTGTACCAGTACAAAAATTCACTATCTTTATATTCACCCAGCTGATTTTTCTGAAAAAATGAACGTTTTTAGTCTACTTCTAATTCAGTCTAATTTTTCACCTGCTTCAGCTGAAAAATTTTTAAACAGATGGAACTTCTAACATTTTGATGTTCTAATATGTCGAATGCAGAAGAGCTCACACGTAAATTTTGAATTTAAATTTTACAGAATTGACCAATAGGATGCACTCAAGTGTAAAAGCTCTAAAACTGTTTTTCATAATGACATATCAAAAAGAGCCTGCCATGTTTGTGAAATGTAAAATGCACTTCTTCTCCTCAAAGTTTATACATTGACCCTGCTTCTGTGCTTTAAAAATCTCTAGTGCCTCTATGAGTTGGTCTGTGTCTGCCATTGTTCTAATTAATGTAGCACTTTGTAAATTAAGTTTATATATATAATTTAAGTCAAAAATTAATATAAAAATAAAACTGCAAGTAATTTAAGTAAGCTTTAAAATATGGTAATATATGGTCATGTTTGTAAAAGTTGCAACACCATGAAGGAATCTTTAGAAATGAATGAAATTTATTTTACTTGTAACCTGTAGTGATACAAAGAAACAATTAAATTTACAGTGCAATCAAACAATATTACATGCCAAAAGTCAATATTTGGTAAAGCCGCCATGCACTTCAGTAAAAGTTTCTACATGTCTTGGCATCAAATCAAATCAAACAGGTTTTGAATGTGTACCTGAGAAATAGCATTCACAATTGCTTCTATCTGAACCCAAAGTTCATCCGTATTGACTATGGGACAAGTACTATCAGTATTTCTGGCCCATGAAATCCCAGACATGCTGAATAGGTGACATGTCTGGTGAATGGGCAGACCAAGGAAGAAGCAATATCTGTCATGCTGAAAAGAAGTCTAGAACATTCCTAGCAACATGTGGGTGAGCATTGTCTTATTGAAATACAACTCCAGGAATGTGTTGAAGGAAGAGTACAACTTTAGGCCCCACAACTTCCCCAATGTAATGGTTGCTGTTGAGAGTACCCTCAATTCTGAGCATCTGAGATTGCCCATGATATCCAATACTGTCCCAGACCATCATGTCTTTTGATCACCCAGTATGATGCTGGCTGGATAAGGCACTGTGGAAGATGACATTCACCTCTATAGTGTCTAATGTGTACTCGACCATCATTGTACTCTAAATTGAAATAGAATTCATTGGAAAAGACTATTAGTTACCAATCTCCAATGCCATCGGTTGTGTTATTGAGCCACAGGTGTTGATGGTTTTGCACTGGAAATCCTGCACAAAGGAATACTTACATGCAATCCATGGCATAACAGTCATTGGCAAACTGTGGATGCAGACAATGGCACACCTGTAGCAGTGCTCTAATGTTGTGCCAACTGTCAAGATGAAGCTGTATGATCTGCAATTGTCATGCAGATAAAGTGTCTGTTGTCCCATGTTGACGTAACATTTCGTCATCCACTGCCAGATTTGCAATTCGTCTGGTATTCTTCAACCTGCTGCTTCCACAATCACATCACTGTCATGGCATTACACCCCACACAAGCTGCAATTTTGTGATAAGAAAATCCCTCTTCATGCAGATCAATCATTTACCCTGTTCAAACTTCTTAACCTGCTCATATGTTCATAACCCTTTGTCATTAATGAGGCAGAGTGACTTCTCATGAAATGTTTACCAGTGGCAGATAATGATACACTACTTCCAACTTTCAGCTACTGCCCTCTATTTGCTAACATGACTATTCAGAGGGTGCTTCTCAGCCCACTCATATGCTATCACTGATCCCTGATATTCTAATCATTTGCATGTCATACCCTGCTTTTCATTGCACTGAAGTAAGTTTCAGTTTACTTGAATGATTCCTTTATGGTTTTGCAATTTTTACAAACATTTTCTGAATAATGAATTATATCTCTTATAACTTGTATGTAAATTGCTATATAATTATTATATAAAAATTATGTTTTTACTGTTAATCATTTCAGCTTGATGAACTACTCAAAAAATCCTGAAGATTGTTTCAACAGGAATTAGGAATTGAATTTATTTTTTTTTATTTAAAAATAAATTGGTGATGGTATAAATGTTATTCCAATAATCAACTTATATAAGAAAATGAATATCATTTCTAATAACTAAATGATTATAACAAATGCGTAATTCCATATAGCTGTTTCTTTTGAAATTTGATAGCTTTCATATCTTTCTTTGCAAATTCCCAATTAATGCCATAAAATCTGTTGTGCCTTATACTTTTAAAAATATTCTAAATATTTACTTCAAATAATTTCAAACATCCAAAATTCATATTATAATTAATTTAATACTGATATTAATATATAAATAAAAACTGATTTGTAAAATGTATTAATTTGTACAAATTTTAATTTAATTAATTATTTTTTCCCAAGAATTGAATTTTCATCTGTGTTGATATTGTAAATTAAAAAAATGAATTATTCATTATTATCTTATTTGTTTTAAGCTTGTTTTAATAATGGATATTCTAGGTAATGTTCATCAAAGAATATTTTGTACATATGTATAAATTCTGATGATATATTTGATTGTCTTGAGTAGAAACTTTTTTAAATTGGATTCAACATTGTTTCTTTATAAATTGCATAGAAACAAAAGATTTTTATATAAAAAATATTACATTGTTGAATTTCAATATGTATAACTAGAAACTTTTTACCTCAAGTTTCTAAAAGAAGTTTTATTAAGAAAGTGAAAGAAAGAAATGAATTGTATGAATGTACAAGAATCTTAATTATGTATATAATAAATTTGACTATGAAAGTTGAAATTGGTTGTTTTAATAATTCTATTCCTTTACATTTTCGACAGAACAAAAAATATAAACTACAGAAAAACTAACAGCTCACGTATTTGTAAAATCTAAGTGACTCGTACAACATGGAATTCATATAAAACAGAATTATCAACAGTGTTATGTGGGGTTCGACTGTATTTCTATCATGCATATCTCAGCAAGTCTAGATTCAATTATGTTACCCATTCTTATGCCTTCTATCTGTTTATATTATTTTTCATCATCATTATAAAAATAATCATCATTAAATACAAATTTTAATAATTCAAGTTGCTAATTATATATTTGATTTTTTATTGCTTTTTCTATTAATTTCCATTCTAATGAAGGATACATCGCATTTATGTCTAGACTAAAATTTTTGTTATAATTTATGGTTACGAAATGACAGATTCACAAAAAAATCTTAGCCTCAGCTAATAGTATAAATACAATTATAAAATTTGAAGTAGAAGAGAAAAAAGGAAATAATTATTTAGACATTACCATAAGTAGAAATTTAGAAACTGAGTTATAAAACTTATAAGAAAAAATGTAATGTAGATAAACTTATAAATTTTATGTCATACTCAAATTAAACAAAATACATTTGTTGCAGATTTAAGAAAGTTTTTTTAATGACAAAAGAAAAAGATAAGAGATGAAGGAAAAAAAGATTTTTATAAAAAATACATGTTAAATGGATATCAATTAGAGGATTAATAAGAAAATAGTACAGTTTAACCCGATTATAACAACATCGGATGTAACGACAACCCTAATATAACGTCAAATTTTTATCGATCCCACGATTTTACTATACTAGATAATGTTAAAAAACCCACTTGTAACGACATAAAACCTTGTTTTAACGTCATATTTGAAGCACTCTTAAATTTACAAAATTAAATTATAAATTTTATTTATCAAAGAAAATACTACGTGTTCAGTCCTA